AAAACACCTACTCATAGTCATCACTGCATTCACCTACGCCACTACGCACTCTTAGGTGGCTACTGCCTTCCATGTAGAAAAGGATGCAGTTCTCTGTTGAACAATCATTTTAGTTTATATACCACGATTTTTGCTTTAAAATCTGTTTTAACATCCTCAGCAGAAAATGCTCTACAAGTTTATAGCAGCCTTTAACAGCTGAAGTCAGATTGGTAGCACTTCCTTCTAAGGAACTTATAGTTTAAGGACATGGTCATCAAAAGACACAAGTAACCTAACTCAAGAGCAGAGGAAAAAAGTTAAAGGAGGTTATTAGATGAAGAACATTCCACCTACTTGGAATATGACCTCACACTAAGAATCCACCTCTTGCAAAAGCAGAAAACATTTGCCATAAGACGAAGATAATTGTTGATACCACAGTGAAAATGCTCAGCTTACTGACATCAGTGTTTACACATAAAGGTTTGTCACAGTAAGTAGCAAGTTACACCACTTTGCCATAGCACACACGCACTATAGAAGTTCAATATTGAACAATCTACACTGCATCAGAAAGCATGACTCATGAATGTCCTCCAGTCACACTGGTTTTCAAAGTGGGAGGCATGGAGCTGGTTGCCAGCAACAGCAAGAGCAGATAGAAAGCAATGATTTGTACATACATATGCACATAAACAGTCACAGTTTAAATAATTTTCCAGCATCCATCTTTTGAAAGACAGTGCAATGACACCAATGCTCAAAAATCAAATGTTAACTAGCTAAAAAAAACCCAAAACCAACCAAACAAAAAAAACAAACAAAAACCCCTCCAGTTTGTTGAATCAGTGCAAGTGTCAAATGGTATCAGAAGTGATTGGGCTCTGACTCACGTTTACAGAGAAAAAAGCTGCGCTACTTCAGCCCTTCTGGCATCCTACCATCTGCTCCAACCTTCTTCCAGAGCCACTCACCCTGCAAATGAGTTGACAGAAGAAAACATGACTGTGCCTGAGTCAATTCAGTTCAGTTGGCATCATCACTTCAACCCACCTTTTATGGGAAGTTTAATTTGCCTGCCTGAACTGAAGCAGCTCAGGTGCAGACATGTTCCCTCCTGCTACCTGCGCAGGGAGGTCCAAGAAGGAAGGGAGCTGGCACACAGGGGCAGCGTTAACTCACAGTAGCAAAGCAGCCAAGCTCGTTTACCGCTCTGAACTCGTGAAGCTTGTGCATCCATACAAGATTTGCCATTTAACAACAAGATGTCTGTTTTACATATCCTACTGTGTTAAATATGTCATACAGCCTTCATTTTGCTTTCCTGTAACCTACAAAAACAGTACACCAAATGATCATAGGCATAAAGGGTTCTTTTCTCTTTCGAGTATGTATACCGAGCTGAATAAAAGCAGTAAGTATGAAGTGCTTTAGTTTTGCCTCTCCTCATTGCACCAATAAAGGACTTTACATATATGTAAATACAGTGGTTGAACTCACTAGTTACAGCAGTGAGATCTGCCCTTCAGTTATGGATGTTACCTTTGCTAAGATTTTCATGCAGCTACTTTTACATGGGCACTGAATAGTTTAAAAAACCATATATGTCTGTGTAATGGGGCAAGGCAAAGGAAAAAAAAGGAAGTCCAACACAAAGCCAAATCTGCAAGAAGAAAAACAGCTAAACATCACAAGGTTAGAGTTAGGAAATATATTCCCATGACAAAATAACATACCCAAATTTTAAAGACAAATTAATTTGTGGTGCCTCAGCTTGAACATTTTAAAATAGGCATCATTTTTAAGAATACTTCAAGCACAGCATCCCTCTTGGGACCCAAAAGTGCTTGCGATAATTCACATTACATTTAATAGACAAGTTACATAAATAAAACTGCTTGTAATTTGCATTCACTTCCTTTGGAAGGGGAGGGAGGCAGGAATTATAAATATTTCACCTGCATGAAAGCTCATGGTTTATTGTTGCTTTTCTTTTAAGCAAATTCCAGCTTATCTCTTTGAAAACGAAAAAGAACAGTGAAATGATAAAAAGAAGAAGTGGTGATGTACTTGGAGTATATGAGAGACAAAAGTCAACAGAAAGGAATAAAACCAGCTGAAAGTAGGAGCTAGAAAAAGTAGGCAGGAAAAAGCACAGAAGCATAAATATGAAGAAACAAAGATTACAAAGGCATGGTTCAATGTCAAAAGCTATACAGGTGAAGATGTATGACATACGTTTGCTTTTGGAGGGCTAGGATTTGTTGATTCAGAGAAATGTATTTCTCCCCTGGAGAGGATTCCAAAGCACGTGAGATACAGCTCTGGATGAATGGCTGTCAAGAGTATAAAATAAAAGGAAGGGGGGAAAACCATGTTGGAGGAACAAACAAAGCCAAAAGGATAAAGGACAAGTGTTTACGTTAGCACAATGCTTTCCCTGGAATTAGCTGTCAAAGTCATCTCTTTCCTACTCCCCCTCTTCACTGCCTGCCACCAGGGAATGACTTGGAACATGAGTACCTATTTTCCAGCTACCAAAACCGAAGGGAACAAAATAATTTCTTCCAATTGTAGGAAAAAGACCAAACAATTCCAAGAACATACAGGGTATCTTCCTGTATGTTCTTCCTGACAGTTTGACCTTACAGTTCAGACACACATGGCACATGCCCATTTAAAAATCACTTTGCCTCACGTGTACACAAAGGACAAACACATTTCTGTCATATTCTGTAAACGGTTGGTTAATTAGGAGTGTCACAACCAAATCAGCCAAATAATGGAAGTGACACTCTAACAACTCAAGATGTTATCAACTGATCAATAAATAGTAACTTCAGACCACCAGGAAGAGATGCAATTAGAAACTGCTTCAAAGTAACACTTTTTAATCAAAGACACTCCCCTCTTTTCTTTGTAACATTAACAACCTTCTGCAGTTCAAACATCACAAACATGCTGAACACCATTCTCATAGTCTTAAGGTTTGTTTTTTAATTAGCCTTCAGAGGATGACTAATAATTTTCCAGTGTAAGTACTTTTTAAAGACCAAAATCTACCTTATTGTTATAAAAATGAAGTATCATTGCCACCCTCTACTTTGATTTTTCTTAGAAGGGAGAGTGCAAGTGATACAAGAATGACTCAAGACCAGTACACACACGCACAGAACTTGTGTAGTTATATAAAGCCCAAGATTTTTCCCTGCTTCAAGACTGCCAGTTAGAATAAACACCAAATACATATCAAAATGCTGTAGCTTGACTAAAAATGTTGTCCATCACATGCAGTTACACTCCAAATAAGCTCAAAGACATGACAGAAGTTGTAATGTTCGACTCTGGTAGAGGACATAACTCACAGTAGTAATGAAATCAGAAGGTGATGAACAGCTAGCAGCTTGTGCTGCTTTAGCAGTTCTGAACCATGCAGCTGCAGAGAACATCTATCTCTGAAGGATCAAAGTGTTAAAACGTATAAACAAACTGTAAATGGTGGCTTAATAAGTAAGTTTTACAATCACGATTATAAAACATTACAGTTTTGATCTTACATTTACATTCTGGTATTTGCAGGAAGTCCAGCACTTGCCTTCAGAGGCTCTGCTGAAGGTGATGAGACTGCACACAGATGCAAGCGTCAGCCCACAAGAGAAAAGCTTTCCAAAACCAGGCCTAATTGTGGTAAACAGAATAGAGTAGCACCCAGTCCCGATGCAATACTATCAGGCTACACCTTTAATACCTCTGTTGAGCTCACATATATATTTAGCCACTGGTTACCTGCTCAGGATTTTTACTTTCTTTACTGCTACCAGTATGTTAAGATGGACTACATTTAACTGGTACAATTTTGGGTTTGTTAATGTCACTATCTTCTTCCTTGAAGATGCCAAGTAATGAATGACCTTTGTTGTTCAACTGTATCACTTAGTAAACCAAGCAGAATTTTTGGAGGCACTGAAGCTTACTTATAAATAGCTCCTATTCAAGAAAACAGTAAGAGCTGTATATGTAATTGGAAGAATTTTTTCCTGCCACAGACCACAAATCAAATTCAAAACAGGTAAAGTAGTATTAATTCATTGAAAAGAATTAAATTATTACTATACCAAGTGTTTTAGCAGTGTGAGCACCTTTATACTTGGTGCTTTAAAAAAAATAAGTAAATAAAAGTCAAACTGTATTGTTCACATCAAGTGCCTAATTCTTTATTGTCACGCTTATTAATTTAACCACTTGAACCTAACTGCAAAAATCAGTATATTTGATTTGCTGTCACTGTGTGTTCACTTTATACAGATGAAAAGGACTCCTGAAGATTCAGGGTAACAGAGAAAAAAGCCCTAGGAGGACACCAGAAGCGTGCTTAAAAAAACCCCAAACCTGCAAACTAAACATAGCTTAAACTAAGACCAAACTCACATACAAGTTATCACAAACAGAAAGTAATGCTGTTACCTAGTGGTGAAAAGCTAGGTACATGCAAAATTGTACAGCTTTTTTTTTTTTTTTACTAACTTGGAATTGCCATCTATAAGCTACTAAATGACTTCAAGAGAAAAAAAAAAAAACAACAGGCCTAATTCATAAACTAATGAAAGATACTGCTTTTCTTGCATTCAGTTCTGCAACAAAGGGTGACTACTTTTGCACCTGCCAGTTTTATTCTCAGTGGAATAACTGACAGACAAGAAGCTACATCATTTCCTGACCATACCAAAACTGCTGTTTTACACTCCTCTCGCAACATCAGCAAGAGCTGGAAACCTGTGGTATAAAAGCACTACTACCTTAATCCTCAAACATCAGTTTTCCACAGAGTACGATAACCGAAACAGGATCGTACATCCCTCAGGATCTTATCAGGCCATATTTTCAATTACATAAACCAACATTAGCTGAACTCAGTCAGCATTCTCTACGGCATCTCGATAAACGTGTACTCTGCTTTCAGTCAAAAGATAAATACTAGAGGAAGAGCAGAAAGATATGAAGACTTTAATGTCACTTACTCAAATGCAAAGAAGAGTCCACTGGTGACCAAGATGAGAACAAGAGTCAGGTAGAAGACTCCAGTCTGTCGAGCCATCATGATCCTCCCATTGCAGAAGAATTTGTTTCTTCCAGGAAAAACCTCCCATTTTCTCCTGGGAGCCGATTTCTTTTTCTTATGGGGAGACTCCATGGGAGACGAAGAGCTGTGTGTACTGATCTGACTGTATTCACAGTCTTTCATGGGCCCACTACCACCTCCAGGAGTCATCAAGAGAGAGTAAAATGTGGGGAGAACCCCACCAAAAATATACACAATATATATGTGCAAATATTCTTCTGACCAAGATAACCCTCTCCACCAGCCCCAGTTAATAAAAAAAAGCAAATAAAAAGATGAAAAGTCTGCTACCAGACTAGCAATAGGTGTATCATGCAAACACCAGTTAACTCTTCAGAAACCAAAGCTGTCATATCAGAAATGCTTGAGAGGGATCCTTCCTTCCTTCCTCCACCAGTTACAAAACAACCATGGAGGACAATCCTTTTTAAAACAACTTATCATAAAACAAGACCCCCAAAAAAGTAATTATAAAGCAGTTCGGCTGTCCAAAAAAATTTAGTCTTTTTTTTCAAGTTTATTTTCGAATGGGAGGGTTGGTTTGGTTTTTTTTCCTTCCCACGCACACCCTGAGAAATCTCTCCGAGGGTCAGAAGGCTGGTCAAGGCAAGGTTTAGCAATCGAGTCTATCATTCATAGAGATTTGTTATAATCCTCCTTTGCGCAGCAGATTTCACCGCTAAAAATGACCGTTTCTAAAACGTTCCCTCAAGAGACACACGTAATAAATCATTAAGCCAAAAAAAAAAAAAAGAAAAATATATAAAAAGCAAGAAAGAAACCAGGCTGCAACTCCAGCTTCCGAGAAACACTTCAAGCTCTCTTCTTCCTGAAGCCGCAATTCAGCGGGAAGCGGCCGCCGCTCCGCGCAGACCTGCGGGCGCACGGCTCCCCGCGGGCCCTTCTCCCCGGTCACGACTCCACCGAAGGGGATTCTCCCGAGCCCGAGGCAGCCCGGGGCAGGGCCGGTCCCCGACAGACACCAGCTCCTGGGGAGCAGCTCCTCATCCTCCCTCCCCGCCTCACGCCCCGCGCCCCGGGCGGCGCCGCCGCCGCGCTTAACCCCCGCCTCCCCCTACACAACAGGTCCCCGCCGCCGCCTCATGCTCCCCAGCGCCTCAGCCCCGCGGGGCGGGCGGCCGTGCGGAAGGGAGGGGAGAGGAGAGAGGAGAAGGAGGCTTCGCCGCCGGTGGGAGATCTCTGCCGGGACTTCTCCCTCCCTTCACCATCCTC